GCCCACGCGGCTCGTGCAGCGGAGCACCCCAGCCGCATCCGCAGCCGCCGCCGCGCGAGCCCCGCGGCGCTGCGCCGCACCGACCGCAGGGGGCAGGCTGCGTGCAGCATCTCCCCCCCTTACGCACACACACACGGCGGGTCCCAAAAAACGAGTAAACAACCCCACAGTCTTGCCACCCATTGCATGCCGTGCCCTGGCCTCGTCGGACGAAGCGCATGCAGCAGTGCAACTATGCCGCGCCCCACTGCAGGCGCAGCGCGTGCCCGGGGCTGAGGGTGTGTGCGTGCTGGCTGGGTGCGGCCCGGCGTTTTGGGGTAGGCGGCGTGGCACCTATGAAAGCCTGGGTTGAGGGAGGTTGCCGTGCCGCAGTGGATGTGCAAAGTTGGCAGCTTACAGAAGCCGGCGGGCTGTCCTGCTGCAAGGGACGAAAGCAGGGGTTACAGTAAAGCTTGCTGCAGACCGCCAGTTGCAGGAGTGATTTTTGAGGGGGTGCTTCATCCTGGTAGCAAGGGGCCTCTGCGCGAAACTTTGGAGTCGCAACTCTGGAGAAGGCTGGGGCAAAACGCAGTCTTGACGCCAGGCCGCGGCCGAGCTTCGACCCCGTGCTAAGGGGCGAGCCTCGCGGTTCATGGCAGGGTGCAGGGGCGTTGGGGCCGGCGGCGCCGTCCAGCGACCGACAGCCGTCGGGCCGCCCGCCCGACTGCCAGGCTGGCGCCCGCCAGGCCCGGGCCGCGGCGCGGCGCCACGGTCCCGTGGGGCCTGGGCAGCCACTGGCTGGCAGCTGTCCTCGTTTTCGGTCGCCTTGCGCTTGTGGGGCCTGTCAGCGCCAGCGGCTGCGACCCGGTCGTCGCCGCTGACGCTTCCGATGCGCACGACGCATGACGTCATTGCGGCGCTCAGTAACACCGCGCTCTCAGCATCCGTGGGCGGGGCGCTCTGAGAATGCTGGTTGAGTCGATCCGCTTCATGTCCCATGCAGTTACACCTCACACACATCCGGCATGAACCCCCAGCAAATCGAGCCTCGGCTGCTAGACACAGCACCAAACGCAAGGCCCCCCATCCCGCGCCGCCGGCCCCCGCCGCGGCTGCTGAGGGGTGGCCGGGAAGCTCCTCACCGACAAACCGATAGCGTCAGGACGCAGCAACGGCGCCAGCGGCCGGCCGCCCGCCGCGGCCGCCGCCTCATGCCGCAGCGGCCCGCGGCTGCACGCGCGCGCGTGCACCCTCCATACGCGGCAGCCGGGGCGGCCGCTTGCGGCGGCGCTGGCGGCGAGCGGCGCTGCTTCGCGTGCGGGCCCATCCGACCAGCGCTGAATCAAGAAAGGCGATTCGCAATGCGAAAACGTCAAAGGTCGGCCGTTGGGGATCCGGCTTGCGCAGGACCAAAGGAAACCGCAGCTGTTCAAATGAAAATGCGCCTGTTGCTTGCACGGGCGCAACCCGGACCCCCCCTCCCGTGCGAACGGCCGCAGCAGCCAGTTGCGTGCCGTGAGTCAAGACGTGTGTGCCAGGCGCATCGCCCCCCTGAATCCAGGCATGCAGCCTGCCCCAGAAATCAAACGAATCCCCTTTCAGCGGCCGGGGGCAACAAAGGCGCGGCCGCCTGCGCCAACTCGCCTACTGCCACATGCGGCCGCCATGGGCCGTCAGTCGGATGCCAATCGTGCGTCATCGCCCCGCCGGCTGCACCCAGTCACCCCTCGGCCCCCGCGGCGACCTCGGAAATCGCCCAGATTGTGTCGTACCCAGATCATCCCAGATCATGCCAGATCACTCAGCAGCCTCGGACTGGCTCATCTCGACGTCCTTGAACCTGAGCTCCCCGGTGCCGCCCCCCAGCAGCTGCTCCTGGACCTGCGGGTGGTTGCGTGTGGAATGAAGAAAGCGAGAGCGTTGGTGAAACTTGCTTGGAGTGCTTTCGCATGCAGTCAGAGGGGGAGGAGGTGGCAAATGGATTTCAGCGGTGGGATTCGCATTCAGAGAGGGTGAGAAGGAGGAGGGAACAGATGGGCGGGGGCCGGGCCGGCGATGGCGGCGACGGCGGCACGTCTATCGCGGCGAGCACGCTCGCATGTCGTCCTTCCCCGCGCCGCCCCGGCCAAGCCGGGCGCCGACCACACACCCTCAACCCCCCC